CTGCTCCATGTGCCACTCTGCTCCATGTGCCACTCTGCTCCATGTGCCACTCTGCTCCATGTGCCACTCTGCTCCATGTGCCACTCTGCTCCATGTGCCACTCTGCTCCATGTGCCACTCTGCTCCATGTGCCACTCTGCTCCATGTGCCACTCTGCTCCATGTGCCACTCTGCTCCATGTGCCACTCTGCTCCATGTGCCACTCTGCTCCATGTGCCACTCTGCTCCATGTGCCACTCTGCTCCATGTGCCACTCTGCTCCATGTGCCACTCTGCTCCATGTGCCACTCTGCTCCATGTGCCACTCTGCTCCATGTGCCACTCTGCTCCATGTGCCACTCTGCTCCATGTGCCACTCTGCTCCATGTGCCACTCTGCTCCATGTGCCACTCTGCTCCATGTGCCACTCTGCTCCATGTGCCACTCTGCTCCATGTGCCACTCTGCTCCATGTGCCACTCTGCTCCATGTGCCACTCTGCTCCATGTGCCACTCTGCTCCATGTGCCACTCTGCTCCATGTGCCACTCTGCTCCATGTGCCACTCTGCTCCATGTGCCACTCTGCTCCATGTGCCACTCTGCTCCATGTGCCACTCTGCTCCATGTGCCACTCTGCTCCATGTGCCACTCTGCTCCATGTGCCACTCTGCTCCATGTGCCACTCTGCTCCATGTGCCACTCTGCTCCATGTGCCACTCTGCTCCATGTGCCACTCTGCTCCATGTGCCACTCTGCTCCATGTGCCACTCTGCTCCATGTGCCACTCTGCTCCATGTGCCACTCTGCTCCATGTGCCACTCTGCTCCATGTGCCACTCTGCTCCATGTGCCACTCTGCTCCATGTGCCACTCTGCTCCATGTGCCACTCTGCTCCATGTGCCACTCTGCTCCATGTGCCACTCTGCTCCATGTGCCACTCTGCTCCATGTGCCACTCTGCTCCATGTGCCACTCTGCTCCATGTGCCACTCTGCTCCATGTGCCACTCTGCTCCATGTGCCACTCTGCTCCATGTGCCACTCTGCTCCATGTGCCACTCTGCTCCATGTGCCACTCTGCTCCATGTGCCACTCTGCTCCATGTGCCACTCTGCTCCATGTGCCACTCTGCTCCATGTGCCACTCTGCTCCATGTGCCACTCTGCTCCATGTGCCACTCTGCTCCATGTGCCACTCTGCTCCATGTGCCACTCTGCTCCATGTGCCACTCTGCTCCATGTGCCACTCTGCTCCATGTGCCACTCTGCTCCATGTGCCACTCTGCTCCATGTGCCACTCTGCTCCATGTGCCACTCTGCTCCATGTGCCACTCTGCTCCATGTGCCACTCTGCTCCATGTGCCACTCTGCTCCATGTGCCACTCTGCTCCATGTGCCACTCTGCTCCATGTGCCACTCTGCTCCATGTGCCACTCTGCTCCATGTGCCACTCTGCTCCATGTGCCACTCTGCTCCATGTGCCACTCTGCTCCATGTGCCACTCTGCTCCATGTGCCACTCTGCTCCATGTGCCACTCTGCTCCATGTGCCACTCTGCTCCATGTGCCACTCTGCTCCATGTGCCACTCTGCTCCATGTGCCACTCTGCTCCATGTGCCACTCTGCTCCAATGTGCACTCTGCTCCATGTGCCACTCTGCTCCATGTGCCACTCTGCTCCATGTGCCACTCTGCTCCATGTGCCACTCTGCTCCATGTGCCACTCTGCTACCATGTGCCACTCTGCTCCATGTGCCACTCTGCTCCATGTGCCACTCTGCTCCATGTGCCACTCTGCTCCATGTGCCACTCTGCTCCATGTGCCACTCTGCTCCATGTGCCACTCTGCTCCATGTGCCACTCTGCTCCATGTGCCACTCTGCTCCATGTGCCACTGGGCTGCTCCATGTGCCACTCTGCTCCATGTGCCACTCTGCTCCATGTGCCACTCTGCTCCATGTGCCACTCTGCTCCATGTGCCACTCTGCTCCATGTGCCACTCTGCTCCATAGTGCCACTCTGCTCCATGTGCCACTCTGCTCCATGTGCCACTCTGCTCATGTGCACTCTGCTCCTGTGCCACTCTGCTCCATGTGCCACTCTGCTCCATGTGCCACTCTGCTCCATGTGCCACTCTGCTCCATGTGCCACTCTGCTCCATGTGCCACTCTGCTCCATGTGCCACTCTGCTCCATGTGCCACTCTGCTCCATGTGCCACTCTGCTCCATGTGCCACTCTGCTCCATGTGCCACTCTGCTCCATGTGCCACTCTGCTCCATGTGCCACTCTGCTCCATGTGCCACTCTGCTCCATGTGCCACTCTGCTCCATGTGCCACTCTGCTCCATGTGCCACTCTGCTCCATGTGCCACTCTGCTCCATGTGCCACTCTGCTCCATGTGCCACTCTGCTCCATGTGCCACTCTGCTCCATGTGCCACTCTGCTCCATGTGCCACTCTGCTCCATGTGCCACTCTGCTCCATGTGCCACTCTGCTCCATGTGCCACTCTGCTCCATGTGCCACTCTGCTCCATGTGCCACTCTGCTCCATGTGCCACTCTGCTCCATGTGCCACTCTGCTCCATGTGCCACTCTGCTCCATGTGCCACTCTGCTCCATGTGCCACTCTGCTCCATGTGCCACTCTGCTCCATGTGCCACTCTGCTCCATGTGCCACTCTGCTCCATGTGCCACTCTGCTCCATGTGCCACTCTGCTCCATGTGCCACTCTGCTCCATGTGCCACTCTGCTCCATGTGCCACTCTGCTCCATGTGCCACTCTGCTCCATGTGCCACTCTGCTCCATGTGCCACTCTGCTCCATGTGCCACTCTGCTCCATGTGCCACTCTGCTCCATGTGCCACTCTGCTCCATGTGCCACTCTGCTCCATGTGCCACTCTGCTCCATGTGCCACTCTGCTCCATGTGCCACTCTGCTCCATGTGCCACTCTGCTCCATGTGCCACTCTGCTCCATGTGCCACTCTGCTCCATGTGCCACTCTGCTCCATGTGCCACTCTGCTCCATGTGCCACTCTGCTCCATGTGCCACTCTGCTCCATGTGCCACTCTGCTCCATGTGCCACTCTGCTCCATGTGCCACTCTGCTCCATGTGCCACTCTGCTCCATGTGCCACTCTGCTCCATGTGCCACTCTGCTCCATGTGCCACTCTGCTCCATGTGCCACTCTGCTCCATGTGCCACTCTGCTCCATGTGCCACTCTGCTCCATGTGCCACTCTGCTCCATGTGCCACTCTGCTCCATGTGCCACTCTGCTCCATGTGCCACTCTGCTCCATGTGCCACTCTGCTCCATGTGCCACTCTGCTCCATGTGCCACTCTGCTCCATGTGCCACTCTGCTCCATGTGCCACTCTGCTCCATGTGCCACTCTGCTCCATGTGCCACTCTGCTCCATGTGCCACTCTGCTCCATGTGCCACTCTGCTCCATGTGCCACTCTGCTCCATGTGCCACTCTGCTCCATGTGCCACTCTGCTCCATGTGCCACTCTGCTCCATGTGCCACTCTGCTCCATGTGCCACTCTGCTCCATGTGCCACTCTGCTCCATGTGCCACTCTGCTCCATGTGCCACTCTGCTCCATGTGCCACTCTGCTCCATGTGCCACTCTGCTCCATGTGCCACTCTGCTCCATGTGCCACTCTGCTCCATGTGCCACTCTGCTCCATGTGCCACTCTGCTCCATGTGCCACTCTGCTCCATGTGCCACTCTGCTCCATGTGCCACTCTGCTCCATGTGCCACTCTGCTCCATGTGCCACTCTGCTCCATGTGCCACTCTGCTCCATGTGCCACTCTGCTCCATGTGCCACTCTGCTCCATGTGCCACTCTGCTCCATGTGCCACTCTGCTCCATGTGCCACTCTGCTCCATGTGCCACTCTGCTCCATGTGCCACTCTGCTCCATGTGCCACTCTGCTTCATGTGCCACTCTGCTTCATGTGCCACTCTGCTTCATGTGCCACTCTGCTTCATGTGCCACTCTGCTTCATGTGCCACTCTGCTTCATGTGCCACTCTGCTTCATGTGCCACTCTGCTTCATGTGCCACTCTGCTCCATCTGCTCCATCTGCTCCATCTGCTCCATCTGCTCCATCTGCTCCATCTGCTCCATCTGCTCCATCTGCTCCATCTGCTCCATCTGCTCCATCTGCTCCATCTGCTCCATCTGCTCCATCTGCTCCATCTGCTCCATCTGCTCCATCTGCTCCATCTGCTCCATCTGCTCCATCTGCTCCATCTGCTCCATCTGCTCCATCTGCTCCATCTGCTCCATCAGCTCCATCAGCTCCATCCATGTTCCCACATGCTTCTGCCTCTGGGATCTGAAGGAGGTGTTGAAGGTGCCGCACGGTTGTTGGGGCGCCTCATAGCAGGCCCTTCTCCTTGCCTTGTGTCTCTTCCCCCCATACGCTGCCACCACCAGGATCTGAAGGAGGCGCTGGAAGCACTGGACGTGGGGTTGAGGCACAACCTGCGCGTGATGAGCTCGTTTGACAAGTATCGCCAGGCCAGGAGGTGCTGTCTCTCGGGCTCATGCGCCTCGTAGCACACCCTCTCTCTGCCCTTTCTTCCCTCTCTGTGCCCTGTGCCTCCCACACTGCTACAATCACCAGGACCTAAAGGAGGCACTAGAGGCGCTGGATGTGGGGCTGAGGCACAACCTGCGCGTGATGAGCTCCCTCCCTCACCAGTGCCCCACACTCTCACAAGTACTGCCAGGAGGTGCTCCCTCTCGGGCTCATGCGCCTCGTACCACACCCTCTTCCCTCCCTTCCCTCTCTCTGCCCCGTTCCTCCCACACTGCTACAATCACCAGGACCTGAAGGAGGCACTAGAGGCGCTGGACGTGGGGCTGAGGCACAACCTGCGAGTGATGAGCTCGTTTGACAAGTACTGCCAGGCCAGGAGGTGCTCTCTCTTGGGCCCACGCGCCTCATAACACACCCTCTGCTCTTTCTTCCCTCTCTGCCCCGTGCGCCCCACACTGCTACGATCACCAGGACCTGAAGGAGGCACTAGAGGCGCTGGACGTGGGGCTGAGGCACAACCTGCGCGTGATGAGCTCGTTTGACAAGTACCGCCAGGAGGTGCTGTCGGGCTCGCTCGACTGGACGCCCATGCACAAGGACGCGGCCTTCTGGCGCGAGAATGTCATGCACTTTGAGGATAATGATTTCCAGGTTTGTGGCTGAGTGGTGTGCGGTGTAGTGCGGTTGTGAGGGTGTTGGGGTCGACTGAGACTGACTGGACGCCCATGCACAAGGATGCGGCCTTCTGGCGCGAGAACGTGATGCACTTTGAGGATAATGATTTCCAGGTAGGGAATCCTGGGTGGTGTGCGGTGCTGTGCGGTTGTGTGAGGGTGTTGCCATGTTGGGCTCACTCGACTGGACGCCCATGCACAAGGACCCCGCCTTCTGGCGCGAGAACGTGATGCACTTTGAGGATAATGATTTCCAGGTATGTGGCTGAGTGGTGTGCGGTGTAGTGCGGTTGTGAGGGTGTTAGGATCGACTGAGACTGACTGGACGCCCATGCACAAGGATGCGGCTTTCTGGCGCGAGAATGTCATGCACTTTGAGGACGACTTCCAGCTATGTGGGTGGGTGGTGTGCGGTGCTGTGCGATAGTGATGTTGATTGACTGGACGCCCATGCACGATGCAGCATTCTGGCTCAAGGAGTGAATGGCATGCAGTATGAGGATAATGATTTCCAGGTATGCCCGGGTGTGGGTCACGGCCGATTGGCAGTCCCTGTATTCATGGGAGACCTGCTTAGGTTGCTGCTGACATGCCTATCCTGCCGCTCCTGTGCACGCAGCTGCTCCCACTCCCGTCCAACCCCCACCATTCATCTCATTCTTGGGACACCTTGAACATTGCATCTGTCCACCCCACGTCAACTTCCTCCCTAACCCATCTCAGGTGCTACGAGCGCTAGTGGCCTTGCTGGACACAAGCCACGAAGCAAGGACCCTAGCAGTGGCGTGTCACGATCTGGGGCAGTTCATCACATACCACACATCCATCCAAGTCTCCTCGTTCCCCCTACCCCATCTCAGGTTCTGCGAGCATTGGTGACCTTACTCGACTCTAGCCACGAAGCGTGCACACTAGCATTGGCATGCCACGACCTGGGCCAGTTCATCACATACCACCCGGCGGGGCGGGGAGTCTGAGGCGCCAAGTCCCCTCTTCTCCCCTACCCCACCTCACACCAGGTGCTGCGGGCGCTAGTTGCCCTACTCGACTCGAGCCACGAAGCACGCACCCTAGCAGTGGCATGTCACGACCTGGGGCAGTTCATCATCACATACCACCCGGCGGGGCGGGGATACTGAGGCACCAACTCCCCTCTTCCTCCCTACCCCACACCAGGTGCTGCGAGCGCTGGTGGCCTTATTGGACTCGAGCCACGAAGCAAAGACCCTAGCAGTGGCGTGTCACGACCTGGGCCAGTTCATCACATATCACCCGGCGGGGCGGGGAGTGGCGCATGACATGAAGGGCAAGGAGCGAGTGCTGCGCCTGCTGGACTATGCTGACCCGGAGGTGCGCAAGCAGGCCCTGCTGGCTGTGCAGAAGCTGCTGCTGTCCGCCAAGTATGTCTCGTACCTGCAGTGAGGGAGGCGAGGGGGAACATAGTGGTGTAGCTGTAGTGACGGGGGTGGGGAGCTGGGAGAGGAGTGGAGGCAAGGGGTGGCAGGCAGTGATTGTTGCTGGCGACTGGGAGTGGCAGTGCAGCAGAGGGGCGCTGCTCGCTTCGTGCCGTGTGTCCAGGCATAGCTAGCCACCCAGGTCGCCACTGATGCCTTGTAGTTTGTAAATGCCCTGCTCATGCTGCTGCCTGTAGTGATGAGACAAGGAGTCTGCTACCGTATCTGAATGAATGCTTACTTCAACACGATTAGCATGTAATTTAGTACTTACAGTAGCCAAACTTATTTCCATATTGACATTACCGTATGCGATACACTCTGTTACTCTTTGGGCTCTGTGGTATGTGCTGGCACACCCGAACTGCACCAACCAAGGTCATCAACACAGCCAGCACCCTCGGCAGCAAGCCAACACCATCGGCAGCAAGCCAGCCTTTCCGAGTCACCCATCTTTGAGGGACATCTGAAGTCACAGCAGTGCTCTGTGGTTCACTGCGGTGCCTTGTGCAGTCGCAGCAGCAGCGAGCTGACCACCACCAGCACAGAGCTCCCAGCCATGAGCCCCCCTGCAGGCAGAAAGGGGGGTGCAAGGAGGAGGGATGGGGGAAAAGGGAGAGGTGGGATGGGAGAGGGGAGAGGGGAGAAGACAGGAAGACCAGTGCATGGAGAAGAGGAGATGAGACTGGAAATGGTGCTTGAACAAGTTGCAATGAGTGCTTGGCTCATTGGGCAACGATTGCCATCCAAGCAAGGGTGAGCGTGATGATGGCATCAGCGAGGGCCGGCGTGATTATTGTACCAGCAAGAGAGTCGCTGTGATAATCATACCAGCCAGCGTGGGTGTGAGTGCGACGTCAAAGGCCGGGAGGAAGGCTCCAGTGGCGAGCGGCACAGCGAGGCATTTGTATGCAAGGGCCCACGCGAGGTTGAGGCACACCCAGCAGGGTGAGCATGAAAGTCAGAGTGAGCCTGGGAATGATAGTCGTACCGGCGAGCGTGGGTGTGAGAGCGATGTCGTAGGCCGGGAGGAAGGCCCCAGCAGCCAGCGGCACGGTGAGGCAGCTGTATGCGAGGGACTTTTAAATTGACTCAAAAGTCAGCTGGTATACAACTCGCGCAACCCCCTGACAATCGTACCAGCGAGGGTGGGTGTGAGAGCGATGTCGTAGGCCGGGAGGAAGGCACCAGCGGCCAGCGGCACGGCGAGGCAGTTGTAGGCAAGGGCCCACGCGAGGTTGAGACGCACTCTGTTCATTGTGGCCCGCGCTAGATGCACCGCCTCCACTAGCTGGTGGTGGTGGGGGGAAAGGGGAGGGGAAGGGAAGGGGAATGGAGGGGAGGCAGTGAGACACACCAGGGAGAGGAGGGAGAGGAGGGTGGGGCAGTTGTAGGCGAGGGCCCATGCGAGGTTGAGGCGGACTTGGTTCATTGTGGCTCGCGCTAGATGCACCGCCTCCACTAGCTGGTGATGGGGGGAAGTGAACACAAGGTAGGGTGCAGTGATCAGGAAGGGTAGGGGGAAGTGAATGCTACGGGAAGGGAAGGACAGTGTGAAGAGTTGGAACCGGACAGAGAAGGGTGGTAGAGCAGAAGGGGATTGGGGAGGGGTGAGAGGCTTGAGAAGAGGAGGCATTTGGCGAGCTGGGTGGCGTGCGTTGGACTTACCTGTGTGAGTTAATTGCCGCGCAACACAAGGACAGCGGCGTCAGTAGTGGCACTCATAACTGCCCAGGTGGCACCCGGGGGAGGCACTGCCTGCCACTAGTGAGGCACCGCAAAGGTCACACCTGGGTGAGTCGGTTGCCAAGCAGCACAAGGTCAGCAGCGTCGGCAGCAGCACTCATGACGGCAGAGGTGGCACCCGGGGGAGGCACTGACTGCCACTTTTGAGGCGATTTTTGAGAAGTCTCAGAAACTGACTGCCACTAGTGAGGAGCCTCAAAGGTCGCACCTGGGTGAGCCGGTTTCCGAGCAGCACGAGGTCAGCAGCGTCAGCAGCAGCACTCATGACGGCCGAGGTGGCACCCGGGGGAGGTACCGCCACTCCCACGTCTGCACGGGCCAGAGCGAGGGTGTCGTTGATGCCGTCTCCCACCTGGTGTGTGACAGTGTGTGGGGGGGGAGGGAGGAGAGGTACAACGCAACGGCCAGAAGCACAATGAGCATAGCTCATGACAGCGGAGGTGGCACCCACGGGAGGCACTGCCACTCCCACGCTCATACGCTGCACCGCACGCTCATACGCTGCACCGCACGCATACGCTGCACCGCACGCTCATACGCTGCACCGCACGCATACGCTGCACCGCACGCTCATACGCTGCACCGCACGCATACGCTGCACCGCACGCTCATACGCTGCACCGCACGCTCATACGCTGCACCGCACGCATACGCTGCACCGCACGCTCATACGCTGCACCGCATGCATACGCTGCACCGCACGCTCATACGCTGCACCGCACGCTCATACACTGCACCGCCCGCTCATACGCTGCACCGCCCGCTCATACGCTGCACCGCCCGCTCATACGCTGCACCGCACGCTCATACGCTGCACCGCACGCTCATACGCTGCACCGCACGCTCATACGCTGCACCGCACGCTCATACGCTGCACCGCACGCTCATACACTGCACCGCCCGCTCATACGCTGCACCGCCCGCTCATACGCTGCACCGCCCGCTCATACGCTGCACCGCACGCTCATATGCTGCACCGCACGCTCATACGCTGCACCGCACGCTCATACGCTGCACCGTACGCTCATACGCTGCACCGCACGCTCATACGCTGCACCGCCCGCTCATACGCTGCACCGCCCGCTCATACGCTGCACCGCACGCTCATACGCTGCACCGCACGCTCATACGCTGCACCGCACGCTCATACGCTGCACCGCACGCTCATACGCTGCACCGCACGCTCATACGCTGCACCGCCCGCTCATACACTGCACCGCACGCTCATACGCTGCACCGCCCGCTCATACGCTGCACCGCACGCTCATACGCTGCACCGCACGCTCATACGCTGCACCGCACGCTCATACGCTGCACCGCACGCTCATACGCTGCACCGCACGCTCATACGCTGCACCGCACGCTCATACGCTGCACCGCACGCTCATACGCTGCACCGCACGCTCATACACTGCACCGCACGCATACGCTGCACCGCACGCTCATACGCTGCACCGCACGCTCATACGCTGCACCGCACGCATACGCTGCACCTCACGCTCATACGCTGCACCGCACGCTCATACACTGCACCGCCCGCTCATACGCTGCACCGCCCGCTCATACGCTGCACCGCCCGCTCATACGCTGCACCGCACGCTCATATGCTGCACCGCACGCTCATACGCTGCACCGCACGCTCATACGCTGCACCGCACGCTCATACGCTGCACCGCACGCTCATACACTGCACCGCCCGCTCATACGCTGCACCGCCCGCTCATACGCTGCACCGCCCGCTCATACGCTGCACCGCCCGCTCATACGCTGCACCGCACGCTCATACGCTGCACCGCACGCTCATACGCTGCACCGCCCGCTCATACGCTGCACCGCACGCTCATACGCTGCACCGCACGCTCATACGCTGCACCGCCCGCTCATACGCTGCACCACCCGCTCATACGCTGCACCGCACGCTCATACGCTGCACCGCACGCTCATACGCTGCACCGCACGCTCATACGCTGCACCGCACGCTCATACGCTGCACCGCACGCTCATACGCTGCACCGCCCGCTCATACACTGCACCGCACGCTCCTACGCTGCACCGCCCGCTCATACACTGCACCGCACGCTCATACGCTGCACCGCACGCTCATACGCTGCACCGCCCGCTCATACGCTGCACCGCACGCTCATACGCTGCACCGCACGCTCATACGCTGCACCGCCCGCTCATACGCTGCACCGCCCGCTCATACGCTGCACCACGCTACGCTGCACGCGCTCATACGCTGCACCGCACGCTCATACGCTGCACCGCACGCTCATACGCTGCACCGCACGCTCATACGCTGCACCGCACGCTCATACGCTGCACCGCCCGCTCATACCCTGCACCGCACGCTCATACGCTGCACCGCCCGCTCATACACTGCACCGCACGCTCATACGCTGCACCGCACGCTCATACGCTGCACCGCACGCTCATAGGCTGCACCGCCCGCTCATACGCTGCACCGCCCGCTCGTACGCTGCACCGCCCGCTCCTACGCTGCACCGCCCGCTCATACGCTGCACCGCCCGCTCATACGCTGCACCGCACGCTCATACACTTCACCGCCCGCTCATACGCTGCACCGCACGCTCATACGCTGCACCGCACGCTCATACGCTGCACCGCCCGCTCATACGCTGCACCGCACGCTCATACGCTGCACCGCCCGCTCATACGCTGCACCGCACGCTCATACGCTGCACCGCCCGCTCATACGCTGCACCGCCCGCTCATACGCTGCACCGCCCGCTCATACGCTGCACCGCACGCTCATACGCTGCACCGCACGCTCATACGCTGCACCGCACGCTCATACGCTGCACCGCACGCTCATACGCTGCACCGCCCGCTCATACGCTGCACCGCACGCTCATACGCTGCACCGCCCGCTCATACGCTGCACCGCCCGCTCATACGCTGCACCGCCCGCTCATACGCTGCACCGCCCGCTCATACGCTGCACCGCACGCTCATACGCTGCACCGCCCGCTCATACGCTGCACCGCCCGCTCATACGCTGCACCGCACGCTCATACGCTGCACCGCCCGCTCATACGCTGCACCGCCCGCTCATACGCTGCACCGCCCGCTCATACGCTGCACCGCACGCTCATACGCTGCACCGCACGCTCATACGCTGTACCGCACTCTCATACGCTGCACCGCACTCTCATACGATGCACCGCACGCTCATACGCTGCACCGCACGCTCATACGCTGCACCGCCCGCTCATACGCTGCACCGCCCGCTCATACGCTGCACCGCACGCTCATACGCTGCACCGCACGCTCATACGCTGTACCGCACTCTCATACGCTGCACCGCACTCTCATACGCTGCACCGCACGCGCAGTGGCGGTTCTGCCAAGTCCACATCTTGCTTGCCTCTCACCATCCCCATTCCCTCTCCTCACCATCCTCCCCTCTTCCGCCCTCTTTTCTCACCATCGCCACGCTGTGCCTGTCCCTCAGCACGCCCTCCCTTCCTCCTCTCTCTCTCAGCACGCCCTCCCACGCCCTGCCTCCCCACCCCCCCCCATCTCTCACTCTCACCATTGCTACGCTGTGACCGTCCCTTTGCATGCTCTCAATCGCCTCCGCCTTTCCCTCCAGCAGCACTGCTGTCAACACTCTACCTCACCCACTCTTTGCCTCTTCCTTTCTCCACCCCACCCTTCCCCCCCACCTTCCTCTCACCATGGCTACGCTGTGACCGTCTCGTTGCATGCTCTCTATCGCCTCTGCCTTGCCTTCCGGCAGCAGCCTTCCAAGAACCTTCCCCTGGCCAGCGATGCCAACAGCCTCCGCCACTCGGGTTACTGCCGCCTGCCGATCGCCAGACAGCACAGCCGCTGACACTCCCAAGGAAGCCAGCCTGTGCAGAGGGGTGAGGAAGAAGAGGGGAGGGAGAGAGGCAGCAGAGGAAGGAGGCTTTTGACGCCTCAAGAACGAACAGCCTCCGCCACTCGGGTTACTGCCGCCTGCCGATCGCCAGACAGCACTGCCGCTGACACTCCCAAGGAAGCCAGCCTGTGCTGTGCCTCGGCGCGCAGTGAGTCGCTCACACAGATGCAAACCCTGTCTCACCTCGCCCACACCACACATCGCCCTCCCTCACTCCCCAACCAACCCCCCTCAAATGACTGTGCATCCGCCTTTACACACTCACCGGCTCACAGTCTCCTGTGCCTCGGCGCGCAGCGAGTCGCTCACACAGATGCACCCCAGAATGCCGCCCACACTCCTCCCCTCCTCCGCCGCCCCCCTCCTCTCCTCCTCGCTCCTTGTTTCACCCACATACACAAACGTGTGGCTGCTGCTGCTATCTCTCATGCCCCCCTCTCCTCCCTCCCCACTCCCTCCCACGCCCCCACACTCCCCTCTCAACACCCCCTCCTCCACTCTCCGCCATCTCTCCCTCTCGCCTTCCACCTCACTCCCTTTACCACTCCCTCCCCTCCCCTCCCTCTCCCTTGTCCCCCCCAAGCAGTGCTTCGCCACCCAATCAAATCCCCCCACGTGGATCTCTCTACCATCCACTACAGCCACCACGCCCCGCCCGGGAACAGTGAGAGCAGACGAAACGGGCGGCAGCGGGGCGGCGGAGAGGCGGGCGGCGTGGGCGGTGATAGCGGCGGCTACTGGGTGGCGCGTAGTGGCCTCTGCTGCTGCTGCCAGGCGCAGGAGAGAGACGGTGGCAGCGTCAGTGGCAGTATCGGTATCAGTAGCAACGGCAGTTGCAGTGGTGGTAGTGTGTCTGTGGCTTGATGCTGTGGCTGGTTCTTGGTGGAGGGCAGTGGAGTGCGATGGTGAGTGGTGGAGAGCGGTGGGCGGCTGGTGGGCTGCAGGCACCACAGCAGACACCTGGGGCTGCCCTGCTGTCAGCGTGCCGGTCTGGGCGAGGGGGGGGGGGTGAAGGGGAAAGGGGGAGGAACGAGCGGAGGGAGAAGTGAAAAGCAGACGTGGCAGAAGGGGATTGGCTGAGACTGGGATGAACTAGTGGGAGCTGGTAGTCATTCTGTAGAACAACAATCACGCGTGCTCGCCACGTCTCATCTCGCCACGTCTCATCTCGCCTCGCCTCGCATTGCGTGCCCCACTCACCTTGTGAAACGCCACATCCACTCCACGGCTGCCAGCCAGCCCCTCTTTCATCTTGTACAACGTTAGCTCAACAAAAATCAAGTGGGCTTGTCTCGTCGCCTCATCGCCTCTCACCTTGTCAACTGAAGCCAGCCTCACCAACACGCCCACAGTGCATCGCTCCCCTTAAGCTTCTCTTACAACCTGCCAGGAGGCATCAGGTGTCTCGCCTCACCTGACCTAGGTGCGCTCAGGTCATCCCACTCATCTTGTCAAACGCCACCAAATTGGTTGCTGCCAGCCTCTCCAACACGTCACACAGAGCATCTCACCTTGTTAAACCAAAACAGAAACCAGGTGGTCCCTCCCGTCACACCTAGCGTCTCCCACTGACCTTGTCAAACGCCACCACATCGACTGCTGCCAGCCTCTCCAACGCGTCACACAGTGCATCGCTCCTTCCAGCCTCTCTCACCTTGCCACCTGCCGCCAGGTGCCTCCCCTCACCTAGCGTGTCTCCTCTTGTAGCCTCAGCTAATCTCACATGACTCACCTTGTCAAACGCCACCACATCCACCGCTGCCAGCCTCTCCAACACGTCTCCCCCGCGCAGCAGCAGCCCCCTCCTCGCACCTGCCATGCGCACACACACGCATCCATGTGAATGAGGTTATGGGAGGCGTGTTCAGAGTCGACGCAAAACACCACATCGACTGCTGCCAGCCTCCCCCGCGCAGAAGCAGCCCCCTCCTCACTCCTGCCATGCACGCATGCAGGTTCTTATACTTGAGAGTTACGCAAGCTACCAGAGTTGTGGCAGATCGTCTTAAGAGACATTGTTTGGCATGGGATGGGTGGGTGGGTGGGATATGAGGGCATGGACGAGTGGTTGCGAGGCCAGAGGGCAGAGACAGGGAGAGGTGTGGTGCGGTGCAGAGAGGCCGTACCCAGGGACGTGCCAACGAGGATGGCGGTGGGCGTGGCGAGGCCGAGCGCACAGGGGCAGGCGACCACCTGGGGTGGGGAGTGAGAAGCAGGGATCAGTCAAAGGGAGCACAGCAGCAGGTGCAGTGGAGTCAGGAAGGTGGGGACTAAGGGGGTTGGGAAGCATGGGGTTGGGTATAAAAGGGGTGGGGATTGGAGACGCACATGTGGGAATGGCTGGGAAGGAGGAGCAAGAGAATTCACGTAGTGAAAAGGCGATGCTTGTTTCAGTAACAGCACGCTGATGGCGAGGCGCAGGCTGAGCACGAGAGGGTCAGAGTTGACTTTGCGGCATCTCAACCGCCGTGTCCTTTCTCACCAGCACGCTGGTTGCACTCATGCCTTACCAGCACTAACAGTCCTGGTGAGGGAACCTGATGGGGGAACCTGATGGGGGGAACCTGATGGGGGGAACCTGATGGGGGAACCTGATGGGGGGAACCTGATGGGGGGAACCTGATGGGGGGAACCTGATGGAGGGAACCTGATGGGGGGAACCTGATGGAGGAACCTGATGGGGGGAACCTGATGGGGGGAACCTGATGGGGGGAACCTGATGGGGGGAACCTGATGGGGGGAACCTGATGGGGGGAACCTGATGAGGAACCCGATGGGGGGAACGTGATGGGGTGGGGAACCTGATGGGGAAGCTGATGGGGAACCTGATGGGGAACCTGGTGGGAAACCTGATGGGGAACCTGATGGGGAACCTGATGGGGAAGCTGATGGGGAACCTGATGGGAAACCTCATGGGGAACCTGATGGGGAACCTGATGGGGAACCTGATGGGGAACCTGATGGGGAACCTGATGGGGAACCTGATGGGGAACCTGATGGGGAACCTGATGGGGAACCTGATGGGAAACCTGATGGGGAACCTGATGGGGAACCTGATGGGGAACCTGATGGGGAACCTGATGGGAAACCTGATGGGGAACCTGATGGGGAACCTGATGGAGAACCTGATGGGAAACCTGATGGGGAACCTGATGGGGAACCTGATGGGGAACCTGATGGGGAACCTGATGGGGTGGGGAACCTGATGGGGAACCTGATGGGGAACCTGATGGGGAACCTGATGGGAAACCTGATGGGGAAGCTGATGGGGAACCTGATGGGGAACCTGATGGGGAACCTGATGGGGAACCTGATGGGGAACCTGATGGGGAACCTGATGGGAAACCTGATGGGGAACCTGATGGGGAACCTGATGGGGAACCTGATGGGGAACCTGATGGGGTGGGGAACCTGATGGGGAACCTGATGGGGAACCTGATGGGGAACCTGATGGGGTGGGGAACCTGATGGGGAACCTGATGGGGAACCTGATGGGGAACCTGATGGGAAACCTGATGGGGAAGCTGATGGGGAACCTGATGGGGAACCTGATGGGGAACCTGATGGGGAACCTGATGGGGAACCTGATGGGGAACCTGATGGGAAACCTGATGGGGAACCTGATGGGGAACCTGATGGGGAACCTGATGGGGAACCTGATGGGGTGGGGAACCTGATGGGGAACCTGATGGGGAACCTGATGGGGAACCTGATGGGGTGGGGAACCTGATGGGGTGGGGAACCTGATGGGGAACCTGATGGGGAACCTGATGGGGTGGGGAACCTGATGGGGTGGGGAAACTGATAGGGAACCTGATGGGGTGGGGAACCTGATGGCGAACCTGATGGGGAACCTGATGGGGAAGCTGATGGGGAACCTGATGGGGAACCTGATGGGGAAACTGATGGGGAAGCTGATGGGGAACCTGATGGGGAACCTGATGGGGAACCTGATGGGGAACCTGATGGGGAACCTGATGGGGAACCTGATGGGAAACCTGATGGGGAACCTGATGGGGAACCTGATGGGGAACCTGATGGGGAACCTGATGGGGTGGGGAACCTGATGGGGAACCTGATGGGGAACCTGATGGGGAACCTGATGGGGTGGGGAACCTGATGGGGAACCTGATGGGGAACCTGATGGGGAACCTGATGGGGTGGGGAAACTGATAGGGAACCTGATGGGGTGGGGAACCTGATGGCGAACCTCATGGGGAACCTGATGGGGAACCTGATGGGGAAGCTGATGGGGAACCTGATGGGGAACCTGATGGGGAACCTGATGGGGAACCTGATGGGGAACCTGATGGGGAACCTGATGGGAAACCTGATGGGGAACCTGATGGGGAACCTGATGGGGAACCTGATGGGGAACCTGATGGGGTGGGGAACCTGATGGGGAACCTGATGGGGAACCTGATGGGGTGGGGAACCTGATGGGGAACCTGATGGGGAACCTGATGGGGAACCTGATGGGGAACCTGATGGGGTGGGGAACCTGATGGGGTGGGGAAACTGATAGGGAACCTGATGGGGTGGGGAACCTGATGGCGAACCTGATGGGGAACCTGATGGGGAAACTGATGGGGAACCTGATGGGGAACCTGATGGGAAACCTGATGGGGAACCTGACGGGGAACCTGATGGGGAACCTGATGGGGAACCTGATGGGGGACCTGATGGGGAACCTGATGGGGAACCTGATGGGGTGGGGAACCTGATGGGGAACCTGATGGGGTGGGGAAACTGATAGGGAACCTGATGGGGTGGGGAACCTGATGGGGAACCTGATGGGGAACCTGATGGGGAACCTGATGGGGTGGGGAACCTGATGGGGAACCTGATGGGGAACCTGATGGGGAACCTGATGGGGTGGGGAACCTGATGGGGTGGGGAAACTGATAGGGAACCTGATGGGGTGGGGAACCTGATGGCGAACCTGATGGGGAACCTGATGGGGAAACTGATGGGGAACCTGATGGGGAACCTGATGGGAAACCTGATGGGGAACCTGACGGGGAACCTGATGGGGAACCTGATGGGGAACCTGATGGGGGACCTGATGGGGAACCTGATGGGGAACCTGATGGGGTGGGGAACCTGATGGGGAACCTGATGGGGTGGGGAAACTGATAGGGAACCTGATGGGGTGGGGAACCTGTTGGGGAACCTGATGGGGTGGGGAACCTGATGGGGAACCTGATGGGGTGGGGAAACTGATGGGGAACCTGATGGGGAACCTGATGGGGTGGGGAAACTGATGGGGAACCTGATTGGGAACCTGATGGGGAACAAGATGGGTAACCTGATGGGGAACCTGACGGGGAACCTGATGGGGAACCTGATGGGGAACCTGATGGGGGATCTGATGGGGAACCTGATGGGGAACCTGATGGGGAACCTGATGGGGAACCTGATGGGAAACCTGATGGGGAACCTGATGGGGAACCTGATGGGGGACCTGATGGGGGACCTGATGGGGGACCTGATGGGGAACCTGATGGGGAACCTGACGGGGAACCTGATGGGGAACCTGATGGGGAACCTGATGGGGTGGGGAACCTGATGGGGAACCTGATGGGGAAACTGATGGGAAACCTGATGGGGTGGGGAAACTGATGGGGAACCTGATGGGGGACCTGATGGGGGACCTGATGGGGGACCTGATGGGGGACCTGATGGGGGACCTGATGGGGGACCTGATGGGGGACCTGATGGGGGACCTGATGGGGGACCTGATGGGGGACCTGATGGGGGACCTGATGGGGGACCTGATGGGGGACCTGATGGGCTGATGGGGGACCTGATGGGGGACCTGATGGGGGACCTGATGGGGGACCTGATGGGGGACCTGATGGGGGACCTGATGGGGAACCTGATGGGGAATCTGATGGGGAACCTGATGGGGTGGGGAACCTGATGGGGAACCTGATGGGGTGGGGAAACTGATGGGGAACCTGATGGGGTGGGGAAACTGATGGGGAACCTCATGGGGTGGGGAAACTGATGGGGAACCTGATGGGGAACCTGATGGGGTGGGGAAACTGATGGGGAACCTGATGGGGAACCTGATGGGGTGGGGAAACTGATGGGGAACCTGATGGGGAACCTGATGGGGAACCTGATGGGGAACCTGATGGGGAACCTGATGGGGAACCTGATGGGGAACCTGATGGGGAACCTGATGGGGAACCTGATGGGAACCTGATGGGGAACCTGATGGGGAACCTGATGGGGAACCTGATGGGGAACCTGATGGGGAACCTGATGGGGTGGGGAACCTGATGGGGAACATGATGGGGAACCTGATGGGGAACCTGATGGGGAACCTGATGGGGAACCTGATGGGGAACCTGATGGGAAACCTGATGGGGAACCTGATGGCGTGGGAAACCTGATGCGGAACCTGATGGGGAACCTGATGGGGAACCTGATGGGGAACCTGATGGGGAACCTGATGGGGGGAACCTGATGGGGGGAACCTGATGGGGGGAACCTGATGGGGGGAACCTGATGGGGGGAACCTGATGGGGGGAACCTGATGGGGGGAACCTGATGGGGGGAACCTGATGGGGGGAACCTGATGGGGGGAACCTGATGGGGGGAACCTGATGGGGGGAACCTGATGGGGAACCTGATGGGGGGAACCTGATGGGGGGAACCTGATGGGAAACCTGATGGGGAACCTGATGGGGAACCTGATGGGGAACCTGATGGGGAACCTGATGGGGAACCTGATGGGGAACCTGATGGGAAACCTGATGGGGTGGGGAACCTGATGGGGAACCTGATGGGGAACCTGATGGGGAACCTGATGGGGAACCTGATGGGGTGGGGAACCTGATGGGGAACCTGATGGGGTGGGGAACCTGATGGGGAACCTGATGGGGAACCTGATGGGTGTTGGAGTAGGCTAGAGCTCGCTCTGGCCTTTATTTTGGTGTTCTCTTATCATTCCACCATGCTTAGAGCGAGTTATGCTTCCAGGTTCAATTTAGGTTCATTTCGTAGCTATAGTACAAACTGAACACACCCTAAGTTCAATTAGGGTTTCCAATTTCTTTCTAGACTTGTATCTCGACACTTCTTTCCTAATACAATTTTCTCTCGCTACCTTCTCTCTTCCTAGCCATGGCTACCACACTCTCAGTTTTAACATGGTATCAGAGCCAAATCCTTGGCGTTTTGTCCCAATCTATATCTCTTAGTACGGTTTAGGCCTTAGGCATCCGGCGCGCCACTTTTTACCTAGTCGAAATTTATTTTCCCTAGTATTTCGACCCTTAA